AGCGGAAAATTCATGTGTTCCTCCATTAAAATGAGAAATCCATGTTTTTTTCTGAGTTTAAAAAAAAGAAAATCCACTTTTTTTTCAGTTTTTCTGTGGGAAACAGAAAAACCCAGATCCCTGATGATCACACTAGAGTCTGTTAATCTGTAAATAAGCCGCAGTTAGATGTCTTTACAGTCTGGGGAAAGAATAACTGCCAGTCTCTTAATATCCTTATAGAGGGGGAAGCTTAACAGCTGTGAGCTGAAAACATGTGAAGTGCTGTTGAGTAATTAGAAAAACCTTGAATCTTCATTCCTGTGGCCCTTTCCTTTCTTTTTAGAAGCTGGTTAATTTTTTATCCTTTAATGTAAAGACTGTTTTAACAAGTTCACATTTTCAGTTTAGTTCTAGTTTTAATTTAGTACATCAGGATTGGCCCTACAATGGATTTCACAATTTGGGAGAACTAATGTAGCATACAGTGAATTTGAATATCACTTTATCTTACGTGTCACACAAAAATGAAACATTGCAGCAGGAGCAAATGCATATTAACACCAGTTTGCATAAAAGCCACACTGTGGCTATCAAAGTGATTTATCCTTCCATATTTCTGTGCTGGATTTTTCTTAGGAGTGAGGCATTTTTTAGTAAAATTGTTGGTTGAACTTGTAGATAGTGCCTAGCATTCTGAGCCTGGGAGAGCTGACGGAGGTAAATGTGTGGCTCTACTCCACGCAGGAGAGCTTCCTGAACTAAAGAAAGGGTTATATCCTACTGAACTTAACAGAACACTTTGGGCTTCATTCTGATTTTTCCCTGTGTATCTTTAAAGTGGAAGGATTTTCTTATATGGAGAGAGAAACCTGTAGAAAGTAAGTCACTTTTCTTTTTTATATAAAGTGTATTTGGATAACATGTCATAATGATTCATTTTCCCAGAGGCAGGCGCTAGAAATAAAAGATGCACAATTATCAGTACCAGTTGCTGTTTTATCAGTGTTAAAAGCACATCGTATTTCTTTTTTCTCAACACGACATTTGTTGGTTAAGCATCTGAATGGCATGACTTACGTTGACCATGTTTTGATTTTTGCCTTTTTGGTAGTCGTGCCTAAAAGTTTGTTACATGAAAGCACTTAGAACCGTACCTTAAATGCACTTATTTATTCACTTATGAAAGCTGTGCTTGACTATATCATGACTTGATTAGCTGCAATCTCAGTCCAACAGACTATGGAAACAGCAATCTTTTCTAAATATTCAGTACACATTTTTTTTAACCATATAAACTTTTTATGAAAAACCCACAAACTTCCCAACTTTCCTGGCCCTTGAATACATGAGTTTGCATGATGGAAACTCAATGAAGCCAGCTTGGCAAAGCAAGAGTTTCAGCAGAAGAGGCCACTCTGTGCTGAGCTGTAGTAATTCTTGGTGAGGTCTTTTGCTTGGAGATATGGCATGTGTACTTGGATGCTTGACTGTTCTGGCTTGAAACAGAGCGGTTTTTTTTTTTTTAGTTTATCAACTGTAAGAGGGGAAACTTTCAGAACTCTATGGAGAAAGTGCTTAAAAAGTTAAAAGTTGTCATGTCTCATCACTGTAAGAGCTGTCCTCTGAATGCTTAGCAAAAACTGAGTATGGAATTTCGTTTTGTTGTGTTTGGGGACAGGCCACTCCATGATATACTGGCTTATTTTGTTGTCTCATCTTTTTGTCCTATTGAATCAATAGGTATTTAATTTCTTGGTGGAGGCTAAGCCAGTGAAAGAGAAGCATACATTGGGATACACCATGCCTTTTTTTCTTAGTTGTATAAAATGCGAGAAACTCTTTAAGGCAAATACTGTCTTTGTGCGTCTTTTGTGTTGTACCTAGAAGTTGACTTCTTGCCTTAGGGTGATCATGCAGTACACATAGCTAATGGTGAAGACTCCAGAAGGGTTTGTGTGTACATGTGATGTTTGTTGGTTAAGCAACTTGGTGGCATGGCTTATTGTGAACTTCACCTCGCAGCACTGTTCTTTCTCTGCTGCTTTCAAGTCAGTTGTCAAGTTGATGTGCAAGGCATTTAGAGTACAGTAACAAGGGAGGTAGATTTGATGCACTCTATTTTAGAGTATCTAGGTGGGCACTAGGCTGATGAGATCTGGCAAAGGCTTGGTGAGGCAGGGAGGTTAGTATATACCTAAGCTCAAGCATGAGTGTACAGGCTACCAGGTACAGAGCACAAATTGCCCCAGGGAACACTAAGTATGCACTGACACTGATTGGTGATGCTTTCAAATCACTAATACTTTGGAAATTCACACCCTTGCTAACTGCACAGAAAGGCCCTAAAACAGCATTTCCAAAGAACATCATCTAATGCTGGGAGCTCATCCAGCAAGTCCCCCTTCCTTTCTGATTTGCAGATGTACAACATCATTTGAATATTTGTTATTTTAGACTTAAAAACAATTTCCTGGAAAAGAGTGCATAAAATGAGCCTTAGGCTGCTGAGCTTGGCAGGTCATACAGTTCTGAGAATGGGACACACAATTCCTCAAACCCCAGTTGCACAGCTGCCAGCTGTCAGCGTGGGGGGCACCTGCGGCTGGGGAGCTGGAAGATCCCCGATTCCCCAGCTGCACCCTCCGCACCTTTCCTTAATGTGGAAGCAGCCGTTGGGGAGCCAGGAGCTCCCTGCTTCCCAGGTCCTGCTTCCATGGGAACACAAGTCTATAAAACAACCAAAAAAAAACCGTGAGTGGGGGTTCAGTCTGGGATCCCAGCTGTATGCCTGCTTTTTAAAGGTCCAGGGCAAGGTGAGCCCAACATCAGGGAGCCTTTTCCTGATGTTTGGCTCAGTGCCCACTGAATGCGTGCCCGCTTTTTTTTAAGTTCCCAGGTGCAGTAAGTCCAGTGCAGCTAGAGGCTCCCTCCTGTTAGGCTCACAGTGTCCCACAGAAGCTGAAGCAGGGGATCTCCTGCATCTCTTGCTGGTTTAAAGAGGCACCTATGCAAGCAAGCAGCAGGGGATGGGAAAGCACCGTCATCCCCAGCTGCTTGTGCTGGGCAGCTCTTTAAACAGGCAAGCGCAGCTGGGGCTGGGGTTGGCTGCACGTGTTGCGGGCTGCTTCAAACAGGCCAGCAGCAGGGGATGGGGGAAACTCCACTATCCCCTGTTGAACTCATGGGTGTCTTTTTACCGGGGCATGTGGAGCTGGGGAGGGAGAACGCTTCCCCAAATCCACTTGTCTGTTTAGAGGCATCCAGCATGAGCAACTGGGCATGAGGAAGCTTTCCCATTTCCTGCTGCTTATGTTGAGTGCCTCTTTTTCAACTGGTCTGTGTAGCTAGGGATGGGGGAGTTTCCCCATCCCCAACTGCATGCCTGGCATCCTAGACCCTGGAGGTACCCAATGTTCTGAGGCTTGTGCCCGGTGCCTTAAAGTTCAGGCTTTTTAAGGTGCTGGTTCCTGGTGAGCCTGCATCCTGATATGGAGAATCAGCTGTTTGTCAGCATTGGGAAGATGGCACACCACACATTCACTTTATGGTGCCATACAGATTAACCAAAAAGATGTTACACTTTTTTTTTTTTGTGGGTAATATCTTTGTGGCCGATTTGCCATTTTACGGCTCTCTGAGTTCCATGAACTTGTTGCTAATTGCCATTTCTGGTGCGACTAACATGTTAATTGCATCAGAAACGACGTGTGCCAGGGGCCTTGGTGAAAAGCATACTGTTGAATCTCAAGGGGCCAGTATGATACTAGATGTGTGTGAATCCAAAATGAGCGCACACAAGAAATTCCCCTCCTCTGCCTGTCAGCTCTGTTCTTGCACTCACGCTGTTGAGTGAAGTTTGCAGGAACACCACGAGCAGCAGTGTTCAGGGTATGTTAACCTTCAGTCTGTTGCCTCTGCCCTGGAAAAGTGACTGGGAAAATGAAAAAGTGCTGTATACAGTAGCTGTGATCATGGAACAGCTGTTCTGTTTTGTCTCTGTACATTCAAAAATAAATGTCACTTTCGAGCTTTCTAGGACTACAGTGTTGAAGCAGTTGGATCTTTTTCCTTGTCTTCCCTGGCAAATGCAGCACCTGCGATTGGCCACCTGTTACTCATCTTTGCGGCTCCATAGGTGGTAGAAATAGTGCAGATTGTAGAGCAGGCAGTGTTGTCTGCTTAGCTGGCAGAAGGAGACCAGGGAGAAAAGTCCCCTGACTACAGGAAGGTCAGAAGTCCAGCCTGTTGTGCAGGTAGAGGCTGTTGTCGGAGATAATCCTGTCTTGAGCAGGGGGATTGGAGCAGATGACCTGAGCGCCCTTCCAGTCCTGGTTTTTACAATTCTGTAGCATTTAGGCCTTGTCTGTGACTAGATCTCCTAGGCACTGCAGTAATATGAAGAGTAAATATTTTTCCATATATGTACTGTGATTTATATTGGAAGCAAGCTCCCCCTGTGTAACTTAGGTTGTGACCTTTCAGGCAGTGAATGCATCCTCGCAAAGTCCTGAATAACTGTTTCCCATTGAAGGCACAAGAAAGAGACTGTCCTCCACGTTCTATACAGTGCCTAGCTGAATTATTTGCCCTTTGACGGGGACATTCAAAATACGCTTTCTGCAACCAGGCAGTGAGGACATGTGGTACTGATTGAAGCTAATACTTTTATGTTCCAGTTCCTTTTTTCCCTTTTGTGAAATTTTTCTGGTACTTTTTGACTCACTAAAAGGAATGTAATAAATACATATGAATTGCACTCAAGCTTCTGGCATGCCTTTCATGCCGTGTTTACTGGGGTCATTCAGCACGGAAATGTGTTTTTAAATTTATACTCTTGTCATTCAGGTTTTTTGTTTTTTTTTAGTTATAAATTTAAATGACAAAATTATAGCTTTGCTTTCTGCTTGTAAAAGTATTTCCCTTCTAAAATATCCTGCATCTGCTTGTGAAACACTTCTGGTGCATGTGACACAAACTTCCATACTCTGCTCTGACACTAGTGCTGTTGTGTTTCATAGATGATGTTCCAGGCAGAGAGCCAGCAGAGAGACTTAATCAGAAGCATAGAATGCCTCCCTGTCTCTGGTCACCTCACCTCCTTGGATCAAGACCTCCTAATGCTCAAAGCAACTTCCATGGCAACTATGAATTGCTTAAATGATTGCTTCCATATTCTCCAGCTACAGCATGCTTCACAGCAAAAGGGATCCTTACCAGCAGGTGGGTCATGAATGAAGGTAAAGGCCTAAGCTGTGCAACAGAACCATGAAGCCAAGGACACGGTGGATTAGTTAATTGAAGTGTTCACTCCATTTTTTTTTTTTTTTTGCTGTGGACAGTTTGAACCATAAGCACCTCTTGCACAGTTTCTTGCGTGTTCCTTTGAAGCAGCACTGTCAAGCTGATGCTGAGCTAATTGCTCTGATCGTTCTGAGTATTTCCATGTTCCTGTGCATTACTGTGGTTAGGCTAGATTTTATCCAGCTCAAATGCGATGCTGTAGAACTGCACTTCCTGCCACCCAGGTTTGTGGCCTCGGGGGCCCTGCTCTCCATGCTGTCGCTAAGGGTGGTTACAGATGTTACACTTACTGCACTTTTAAGCATGCAGAAAGCACTTTACAGCTGTAAGAGAACAGACGTTCATGGCACAGAAAATGCTTTAAAAATGACAGATCCTGCTCTACATTTAAACTTGGTGGACGTGCGCTAGCCTAAAGCACTTTCTGTTAGAGTGCTCTATCAAATGCCTCTGCCAGATACCATCGAGGGTTAACTTAAAATTCAACCACCGCCGTCCAAGACAGCTTTGCGCAGGGCTGCGTTCCAACCTCTGGCAGAGCTCCTGTACTCTGCACAAGCGCCAGCAACCCCCTCTGCTGTCACTGACCCAAATCGGTGCAGCCTCTGATCCTAGCCTCGTGTAGCCTGAGGGGGGCAGGAAGGAAGCGGGGTTTCTGTCCCCGTAGCCTCCCTAGCAGATCGGGAAGGGGCGGCTGTGAGAGGAGGAGTCTGGGGTCTCTCTCCTGGCAGCTGCCCCAGCTGGGCTGTGGCACATTGCTGTTTGGCTGGGGGGGAAGGACTCTAAGGTGTGTCGTGTCCCCCCCCTGCAGGAGTGGCACACCACTGCCTGTCTAGGACGGCTGCTGGGGAGAAGGCTTCAAAGGTCCCTTTGCTGCCTGACTGGGGCTGCTGTGGGGGGGCCCAGAGCCCTTCCCCTGCAGCAACTGTGGTTGGGCCACCCCTTGCCGCAGCTGCTGGCTGCAGCTGTCAAGGGACAGGAGGGGGAGCCCCACTTACTGCCCTGCCCTTCTCCCCCCCAGACTCCCAGCCAGCAAATTGGGAGAGGGGGGGAATGGGACAGTGCGGGGGTGTCCTTCCCCCCACTTCCTCCCCCAAACTGCTGCTGACAGCATCTGGGGGGGGCTGCTCTGGCAGTCTCCTGGGAGGCACGCAGGAGCGCCTCCAGCAGCCAGCGCAGGCAGGCTGCAAGCTCCCTCGAAACAGCGAATGTCTGTTCCATTGGCTCCTGCTCTAACTTATCACTGTTTAACTAAAGTGAGATATGTAAGAGCGCTTCTGCCAGAGGCTTTTTGAACATCTGTACTTAGCCTAAATGAGTAGCAAGGGCAGAGTACACACAGTGGTACAGTAATTTGCTCTTTATCCTCAGGCAAGAGTCGAAAAGAAGGTATGTTGCAACTAAAGCACCAGCCTTCTCTAGTCCTCTTGGCAGGATGGCATGTCTGTAAGCTGCCCTCTTCATGAGACCAAGACTGAGCCTAGCCCGTTGTTTGTGGATGGCCTATAGATAATTAAGTTGACAGGAGCCCATTGGTGGGAATCCATGTGACCCCATCGCTGTCTTTGTTTCCTTTTACATCTTGCAGCATGTTTTATCAAGGTGGAAGAAAGTGCTCTAAAGCAGATCTGGCAGAAATCCAAGATGAGGTCCACAGCCCAGAGTATTTAGAAGCTCTCAAATTCTTTAAAAATAGCGTTGTCATGAATTGGAAAACATTTAGCTTATCAAATTAGAGTATTGAATGTAAGAAATCTTCATGACACAATTTGACACCTAAGATTTCAGTGACTGCTGGCTCAAACTTGATCAAAACTTGTTACTCTTAGACACACCTCTTGTTTCATGATGAAGGACATGGTCAACACATTTCATTTTTCTTGTTTTGTGATGGAGCCTCTGTGGTGGTAACAAGGGATAACAGCCACAAATTGTTAGAGCGTAGGTTTAGACTAGACATCCGAAGGCACTGCTTCACAGTCAGGGCGGCTAGGATCTGGAACCAATTTGCAAGGGAAGTGGTGCTGGCTCCTACCCTGGGGGTCTTTAAGAGGAGGCTGGATGTCTTCCTGGCTGGGGTCACTTGAGCCCGGTTTTCTCTCCTGCCCAGGGCAGGGGGTCAGACTTGATGATCTACAAAGTCCCTTCTGACCCCACTTCTATGAATCTATGACAGCATTTATATAGCTGCATTTTCATTGTGAAGGATCTGAAGGCACGGTGGTAGTAACATTTACAAAGATCACTGAAAAAAATGGGTTTACCTAGAATATGGCTGGACTCCATATATGCATGGCTTGCTGGCCAGCAATAGTATTAGACTCGTAATTTTATGATATTACAAACTCTTTGAGAGGATGAAATTTGTCAGAATTTTGGTATACATAGTTTTTCTTCCATATTGCTTTCATTTGAGAGAGAAAATGAGTGAGTCTTTCCCTTCCTCCCCCCACATCCTCCCTGAACTTTTCTGTTACTCAGAGGGAGTTACATGAACATAACATATATTTTAAGCTTTTTTTTTCCCCTGCCAGAAATATGAAGTTCTAATTCTAGACCTTGTCTGTGCACAAACATGTTGTAGCCAAGTTTGTATGTAGGCATTCTTATTTGGGATTAACTTAATTTTTATTTTATTTTATTTTATTTTTTTTAGCAATAGCAGTAGGGAGGGATGCTAAAATCTGCTCCCTTCTGGCTTCAAACACAATTGCTTCTTCCAGGCAACTGCACGTTGGCTTGAAAATAAAATTACCTTTTCTTTTAAATTAGGAAAGATGATTTATCCAAGCATGAATGATTGTGGAACTGTGTGTGTGTGTGCATGTGTATATATATGTGCGTGTGTGTATATATATGTAGGTATATATGTGTATGCATGCAATTTGAGCATATGTTTCTAGCCCTGCATAATTGTTCATTTTCATGCAAACAGCTGTTTACCTGAACGGTTCCACTTAATTTGTATGGGCACATTAGAATGAATCTTTTTTTCGTTTGTAAGTCTGTTAATTTTAATGTATCTATTTGATTTTTGTAAGAAAAAGGGATAGGGTTTGTGTTTTGTTTTTGAGGAAGAAAATGCAACAATTGCACTGGGCTTTCAAAGAGGATATGATAAAGTATCTGGATAAGTTAAATTCTACAGTATCTCTCATTGCTATCATTGCATATTGCGATTACCAGCTATGTTGACCTATTTAAACTTTTAACAACGAAGTGATGCATTGTATATAAATAAGAATTATTTTTATTAGTTTTAAATCTTAATGTGCAAATTAATCTTTTAAATAACCACAACTTAAAAAAAAAAAACACCCTGAATTTTTAAGCTTCACATGTAAGCTGAAAAACTGAGGCATGTTTTGACCAAAACTTTGCATCTTTGCTTTTAATTTCAAACCTTCTCTCCCTCACCCCCCCACCTCTTTCCTCCCTCCCCCCAAACACATACCCTTTGCCCTAGGAAATGTTTAGCCACTGAAAAGCAGCTACTGGGTCTGTGTGTTTCCTATTTTTATTAATAATAGAGCTTTTAATGTTTGAGGCTGGAGATTCAAGACTTCCCAGAATCCACATTAGCCAACTAGTGCAAAGATTAACTTATGGATAACTTCTTGTGTGGCTCAGGACAGATAATTTGTAACCATTAAGTTTACAGGGGGAAGAGACCCTGCTCGAACCATTTCAAAGACGGTGTTTCGCACGTCCATTTTTATGTGGAGCAATTCGTTTCTGTGAATGTCTGTTTTGTTAAAAGGACTATGCTGGAAGAAGCTGAACAAATATTGACTTTGGATGTAGCTTGATTGTATTTTGGTTATTGTCCGTTAAGATGATCATTTAGACCTTATCTGCCTCTTGGGTGCCAAGATTAAAAACACCATAGAGATTTATCAAATCGTAAAGGATTCTGGTGATGTCCCTTTGGTTGTAGTTTGTAGAAACAAAGACCAGCAGAAATGCAATTGCATGATCATGAAACCTTTCAGGATCAGGGAAAAGAACAAAAAGTGGGAGTAATGCATGTGATATCCCTCACTCCCCCACAGGTCTTTCCCTGAGTGGACCTTACAGTGTCAGGCACCAGGGAAGATAACTGGTGCTGGAGACAAAACACCCTATTTATTACCATGTAGAGCAGGGGTGGCGCCAGCCTCTTCCTGGTGGGGGGGAAAGAAAATGGGAGGGGCTGCACTATATATCTTCTGGCACTTGCCCAAGGTGCTCGCCTGGTGCATACGGAGAATCTGTTGCTACCATTTCTTTAATTGGTGCCCCAACATACTCAGTTTTTTTAACAATACTCACCTGGACAGGGGCAGCACTAGAAGGGGTGGCTGTGGAGAGGCTAAAGCAAATTTTGGGGTGGCTATAGCCCCCTCCAAGCCCCCTCTAGTACCACCCCTGATGTAGAGAAGTGTTTGCAGATCTTTGAACACTGATATGTTGGTTTTGATGGAAATCTGTTTGTTAGATGCTCCCCACTTAACCTTTTGGGGTTGGTAAATCGCAGATCCTTTAGCAAGTGTTAAAACTCGATATGGACAATTAAGGAGCTGTTGCTTAATCCTGGTGTGGACTTCTACTGTACTCTGTACTGGGAAGATGAAGTTCTGAAATAGTGACAAGATTTAGAAAATGAAAAGCTGTGCTAAGATGGACTAGGCCAGAGGTTCCCAAACTTTTTTTTATTGCATCCCCCTTCCCAGATTTACCAGCTGCCTGCATACCCCGACCAGCATACATTTTATACTGTAACCCTCCAAATGCCAATCATTATTATAATGAAAATTAAATCTGTTGTTACACAATTTCTCCCACGTACCGCTTACGCATACCACAGTTTGAGATCCCTTGCACTAGGCCGTTTCCGGTTCTTGTCTTCAAGACTCCATGAAAAAGACTGTATGTGGCAGCATATTTCAGCATCTGTTCAATGCTAGCCATACGGGCTGTCATAAAGAAGAACTAGAAATGATACTAAATAAAGATCTACTTAGTAGGCATAAATGTAACTCTCAGAAGTGGTGAAAAAGTACTTACATTTCCGCAGTGTACAGTCTGACAACTAGGAACGTGGCAATAAATATTTTGGGGTTAGAGTAGAAGGAATAAAAAAGGACAAGATAGTGGGCATCTGCTGTAAAATAAGAATAAAGGAGAGAACAACAAAAATGCCCGGACCAGCTGTGAATTTACAGTAAGTCACAAGCTATTTTATTCCTGAAGGCTTGATATGTAGAGATTAATAGGAAGCTTGGAACCACTGACACACTTTCAGCAAAATACTGAATGGATTTGTAATGTGCTGGTTTGAAAGGGTGTTTCGGTGTCAGGGCGGCAAGAGGCACCAAGCCACAGTTCCTATAGAGAAGAATAAAAGCAGAGCGCAAGGAGTGTCCATGCTTTGTCACTGGCATACCTCGAATATTTGAGGTAAAAATGAAATTTGCCCTGGAGCTGGGAAAAAGTGAAGATAAGCAAATAAGCGTTCAGCATTTAAGGCTTGTGGGTAGAAGGGAGGAACTGCAGAAATGCACACTAGGTTTGTGTTAGTCAAAGTTAGGGGAATAAAAATTACTTCTTAAAAATGTCCAGGTTGAGGAAGAAAAGCAAAGTCCTGCCTCTTTATCCTCATTTATTAAGTGAAACCTAGTATTTCAGATTTTAATAGCTATACTCTTTAAAATTTTAGCAAAGAAAATAGCCAGTTTTGACTACATGTCAAGGAAGGCGCTCTAAAATAACTGAGAGCAGAAAAGTAAATAATGTTGAATTTCAACACGCAAAAGTACAAATTAAGCCGTGCTGATTGTATGCAAACTAGGGTGGGAAAGATTAGCTAACAGCCATACTGCAGCACTGAGAATTATTTGAAAAATTGTGGGCTGGGGTATAGATTAGAGGAGAGAGAAGATGATGTTTTATTCCCAGGATCACTATTTTTCCTTTTGGAAAACATCCTGAAAGTTTTAATGTATAGCTCTGGTGGGGAGAGGCCAAACTGATAAGGGAAAGGCTACTATCTATCTGAATGCTAACGGACTCCGGAGGAGGAGTCTTCCTATTTCGAAGAAAATTTAAATCTTGACAGCCAAACTTTTAGTTTCGCTGCTGAGTCCAGAGAAACTTGTGCCGGCGAAGGCATTTTAAGACTGAGTTAAGCTTTGCAAGATGGGTGCCTCCTTTCTTTGAAACACGCTGGCATGAAAACCTCTGTTCTCTGGGGCTATCTACAGCTGCCTGGGGAATGTAACCTAGTTTTAGAGAAGGGAAATGTGGTTCATTGAGGCTGCAGCATAAAGGATATCCAGGAAGTTGTTTGAGTGACTGAATGTCCATAGGTTCTTTTAGTTTAAATGCATGTACTAATGCCCAAGTTCAGAATACCACCTTATTATGCAGGAGGTTTCAAGCGACTAGTATCCTTTGTATGCTTTGGGGTTCATGTCATAGCCAAAATGTTGCTTTACCATAGTTCTTACGTGCATTTTTAATAGAACTTTATTGGAGTCTACTGTACATTAGCCTTTGAAATAGAATGGAACATTTTCATTATTGATGAGCAATCCTATCTGTTCAGATAGACTACCTGGGAGTAACCAGACACTTGAATCCTTAAATGAGTGGGTGACAGCTTTCCAAATGCTGCTGCTATCATTTGGAGCAACTATTATTTATTCAACAGAGCATGTTGTTGTTCTTTCAACTGAGAAAAGACAAATCCCCTTTCCAGAGAGAACTGTTAGCAAAAAAAAAAAAATCCTTTGGGTTTAGCCACAGTTCCTAGATTTTATTAAAGTATGAGTCGGAGAGTCTGTTGCTACCATTTCTTTAATTGGTGCCCCAACACATCCCCGGGGTTACCTAATATTCCAGTGCTATTGGGTTCTTTATCTCGTGTCCGATTACATCTTTTATAACACTGCCTAATTCTCCAGCACAAATTGCATGCATTACAGCCGGCCAATCCCAGCGCTCTTGCTAATGATTGCCGAAGGTGTTCGCCTGGCGCGCTCACCTTTGTTTAGCTGCTGCTGGACCAGATTAACTGCTTCCAGCTGTTTAATGAAAACCCCTTTCTGCTGAATTTCCAGAGTATGAGTAAGTTCCAGCGCAAGCTTTCTTTTCCTTCAGGGACAACAATAAATTGGTTGGAACCAAAGGTATCTGTGTCAAACCACTTCAAAAATGGAGCGGCTCCGAATTTCTCAGAGGAACTAAACAAGCCAGTGTCTACCAGAGAGGAGCAGCCGATTTCGGAGCCCTGCCAGCTAACCAGGGTAAGGTGATGTGAAAACTCCTGTTCTGCAGGGAATGTTTCTGCTCCCAGCGTTATCTAACTGTGTTGGTACCCTATAGGAAAATTAGGCACCCTCCCCAATCCCCCTTCTGACATGCAACTGCTTGAATAGAATGAAGAGGGCATACTTTTGTATTAAGTACAGTAATGAATCTTGTATTTTCCTATAAGGAGCTGCAGGGTGAAATGTTAAGTGAAGCAAGGAATGGGGGTGGAAGCAGATTTAAACTTGTGATTTAAACAGGGAGGCATTCCACATACAGTCCTTTAAGATGATTAAAAATCAAAAGGTCAAGAAAAGTGAACAAATTGCATTTTCCAAGTGCTCAGAGTAAGCCACTCTTTTTAAATGCTATTTTGGCAGAGCTACAAGGAGGGAGTAGGAGGAGGAGGTGTGGTTAATATAAGTATTTTGTTATTGTAACTTTATTTTTCCAGCTCTTACTGCATCCAACTCTTTCACTAAAAAAAAATAATAAAAAAAATAAATCCTTCCAATACTTGACTGTGGGGCAGTTAAAATGAGAAACAATTTGGTCTCATTCCAGGTGTCCTAAACTATCAAGATTAGCTTGACGTTCTTTAAAATACAGTCATGATTTATATTATTGAAGGAAGGCTTTGGTCGTCTTACTTGAGTAAAAAATATAAGTCGCTTTTGTAGGCAGGCTGGTTTTTTGAAGCCACATGTGTATAGCACACTCCCTTTTGGGGAGATTGTTAGTGAATCTGGTTATAACAACATCTTGTTCCATTTTGTGATTTATTTTTATTTTACAGCATTTTTCAGTAGTGGTTGTATCAGAAACCTGGAAGAACACCAACTTGAAATTTTTAGGTTTTTTTGTACTACTAAGGTTTTTTTTCCCCTTTAGTACAGTTGTACAGATGTCCCGATGGGGCAAAGATAGAAACATCATCCCTTCACTTCTAAAAATTCAATCTAAATGTATTTCTCTTGCCAAACAGCGTCAACATGGGGTGGGAGTTTAAGTACTGCCTTAATTACATTGTCTGTGGTTGGGACACACGCTTCTTATGGCTCTCCTTGGATTGCTGTAGTTCTCACTGGCAAGCACAAAATTGTATAGCACCAGTAGAAAGAAATGGCAGTAATCTAGGGGTTACTCCAGCCCAATTGTTGCCTGGGGCTTGGGCTATTTCAGAAGGAGACAACCGAGCAGGGTCTTTGCAAAATCAGTAAAACCCAAAAAACCTGCTGGATGCAGGAGTGAGCTGCAGGCAGAGGATCCTTGCTTCTCTGTTCCCTTGCTGCTGCTCCCTGGCGTCCTGTTTGGCAGCACTTCTCTCGAGGTCTCCCCATTGCTCACAAACCGTCTCTTTTCCAGGGAATGCCACTGGAAGATGTCGAAGAGCTGAGCCGTCTATCTGAACTCCCCTGGCCCTACCTAAAGCATTCCTGTTAGCTCTGTCACTCTTTTTAAGCATGCTTCTCTGGAGTGTAGTGCAGTGCTGATTGAAGGGAGGGAAGAAATGAAGCTAAAGTTACTTGTTAGATAATGAATTCTTCAAGTCAGAGAAGTATTTTACTGTCTTTTTATAGAGGGCCTACATCTTTACTCATGCTGCAGCCTTACTGCAGTGCAAAGGATCAAGAACAGCAGAAGTCCAAGCCCATGATGAGTACACTTGCTCTCCAGCCAGATCTCTCACTCCAATCCAACTCTTGTTGTTACCTCTGTTTTTTGGGAGCAAAGTGTTGTGGAACTGGAGCACGGCAGAGGCTGTTCAAAGGCTAACTTCTTTTCTCTGGCCAGTCTGTAGAAAGTGATCCTGCCACTAAGTCACCTGATTATACTGTGTCTGCTCCAAGTCATCAGTCGTCTTTAGATATTTCACTGTTGTTATCCACTGGCAGCAACAGTGGGAAATCTAAAGCTAGTGATGACTGGTCATATGTATTTTAATTAATTAGTGTTAAATAATAACATAGCAAGTTGAGACAACATAGTACCTCTTGGTTACCAATGCCTAATCTGTGCCATGGTTTACTACAATCTGCAGTGGCGGTAGCATCAGGAAACTTGAAGCAGTGAGAGGCTGACGAGATCATCCTAGTGCAGACAAGTCCGCGAGGCTTGGATGTGGACATTCAGCCTCATGCTGCTCTCTGCATGTTCTTTCACAGCGTCTGATGAAGTTCGCTTAGGCTACCAAAAGCTTGTGCTATACATCTCTCATTTAGTTAGTGTATAAGTTGCAAGCACAAAATTGTATAGCACCAGCAGAAAGAAATGACAGTAATCTAGGGGTTAGTCCCCTTCTGCCATGCCAGCATCCCCATGCCTTCATTCTGGCATGGAAATCAGTTTTCTTGCTTAAGACATGCCCCGTCCCACCAACTTTGGATGCATAATTTTCAAGAAAAGCATGCAGATGATATACAGCTACTTGCATTATTGCCCTCTCTAGCACTCGTGTTCACACTTGGTTCCCAGGGCTGGGACCATGGGCAAAGCACTCGGGTTCCCTTTGGAACCCGTCTGAAACTGAATCCTCCTGCAATAGAAGTGCGTGCAAGAGGAGAGTCTTTTATTTGACATTGGAGCTTAGGCTGCTTAGTTTTTAAGTTGCATTTTATTACGGTATTAGTTTAGAAATGCCCTTCTGATTTCTGTGTGAGCTTGCTTCATACTTTTATTCCCAACCTGGCAGATATCTTCTGGGCTTTTTTAGACTTGTCTTTTCTATCCTATGAGGTGCAGGCTAAGACTCACTGTATCAACCCATTACATGACACTTGCTTTATGAGTCACTGAAATTTCCTTTTCATTCCAGAGTTGACATTTGTGCTGAGTATAAATATCAGTGCACAGATTTCTGTAGGGGTTTTACTTACTTGTGTGAAGGGAGAAGGGCTTAGTACAGCTCTGAATGTATTTCTGGCTGGTGCCTGAATAAATATGAATTTGAAATGACTCTTATGACTTTGTTACACCAGGAACCAGAAGAAATAAACCCAGATGAAGAGCTGGAGGATACATGTGACAATAAAGAGGACGACCTTGGAGCAGTGGAAGAACAGCGCAGTGTGATCTTGCATCTCTTGTCTCAGTTGAAACTTGGCATGGATTTAACAAGAGTAAGTGACTGAGGCTTGGAAGCAGGCTGTGCTAAAAGTGAAATGCCACCTCAAGTGTGTCCACCCATAGGCTGCGTTGGCAGTTTGCCACATCCTGACAGCTAACACTCCACCCTGATCAGCAGGACTGAAGTGAAAAGCTTGATGCCTGCCGGTGAATGAAAAGAACCTGTCTAACCTACCACCCAAAGCCATAAGCCCTATGACTTTAAGAAAGAAAGCAGTTGTGTGTTGTAAGTGTGTTTGTCAGTGCGTGCATGTTTGTGCATGTATCAGTTTGAATAATAGAACATATCTCGTTTCATCGCTCTTTTTCTCTTGCTGGTTTTTCTCCATGTTTCCTTAATGAATCATGTCTGTTCCTCCTACCTTGTTTCTATGTTTTGCTTTTCTGCACTTTCTCCACAAAATCTCTTCTTCTCCTTCTACCGGCACATCCATTTACCAACTCAATCCCCTCCACACCCACACCTGAAGTCCCCCTTCTACTGATTTCTAGAATGGAAGGAGGAGGGGACAAAGGAGGTGTGTTCTCAGTTCCTCACCCTCCCACCCCACAGCAACATTCGCAAGGTGTGAGTTCTGTTATCTTTGTCCTCTCCCAGCCTCCCTCTTGTTGCTGCTCAGAGCTATACTTGGAAAGTGGTGCTGACCTGTGCTCTGTAGTTTCACTGTTTGTAGTCATAAAGACCATATTTTTATTTAATATAAGCTTAGATTCTGCAGATGTGATGGCACTTACAATGGAAAGAGAGCTTTCCTGGGTAAGTGTGGTTTTAAGTCCAGTTTCCAAGTCTGCCTGATCAGTATAGATAATTATCTGGTGGAACCTGCATCAGTGCATCAAAATCAAGGCATCCATAGGTCTTACTAATTGGTATAGACTTATTTAAACTACGACTGCACAATCAGGAATCACTTGAGTCCTCATCGCTCAATGTTGTTGATAAGCAGTCATTACACAGAAGATCGAGGTGGTAGTTTTACTACTTTTATGCAGAACAAATTCTCTCTCATGTTTTCCCCTCCATTATGGCTTATGCCCATTTTTGGATAACTTTTTTTTTTTTTTTTTTAGATTTTTGACTCCTCCATAATTCTTTGCATTGCAAACAAGCCTGAATTCAAACATGATTTAAGAGATCATTGGACTCATGTAATGTTAAATCTTAAATTTTTAAATGAAAAGTCACTTTAAAACTCCACGCTGTTCCCATTATGCAGGTTACCTTTGGTCACTTGTGCTAGAATGAGTTGTTCATCTCTGTTCAAAGTATCAGTTCCCTACTTCTTAAATGTAGTTGCTCCAGGGCTTTGTTCATAAGCATACAGCCAGCTTGCTCATGAATTCTTGTTTGTTATTTGTTTTTTTCCAGGTGGTCCTTCCTACTTTTATTCTAGAGAAACGTTCTTTGCTGGAGATGTATGCAGATTTCATGTCCCATCCAGACCTCTTCGTCGCAATCACAAATGGAGTTACTGCTGAGGAGAGGATGATCCGCTTTGTTGAATATTATCTCACTTCATTTTACGAAGGTCGCAAGGGAGCTATCGCTAAGAAACCCTATAATCCCATCATCGGCGAAACATTCCACTGCTCCTGGAGGCTGGCAAAGGACAACGTAGTATCCGACACCAATAGTGACTCTTCATCCCATTCCCCTGCTGAGCAAGCAGGTCTTTCAAAAGAGCTGGATGGCCAACTGGAACCGGACTACTACACAGTCAGATTTGTAGCTGAGCAAGTCTCCCATCATCCTCCTGTCTCAGGGTTTTATGCTGAATGCGTAGAGAGGAAGATGTGTGTCAATGCTCATGTCTGGACAAAAAGTAAATTCTTAGGAATGTCGATAGGAGTAACGATGGTTGGTGAAGGTAAGTGAAAGCACCCTTTTTTCACTGTAGAAATGGAAGATAAATAATCGCGCCAGGCAGATAAATATAAAAATAAGCCCTGTGCTCTTCAGGGGAGGAATAACTAATGACTTCTACTCAGTGGGTGGTTCCATCTATAGATTTTTCAAAAGAATTAATTTTCAGGGTTATTAATAGGCTATTATAAGTGTCATGTTGCTTACAAAAGCAGCCCTGAGTTTCCTTCATCTACATCAAAGAGAGACAATGTGGTCTGAGAAACTTTTTAAATACTTTTTGTCAGATGATGGCACCTGTTATTTTCATTGACTATGGAGTGTTGAGGATGTTGCAGATATGCATGATAAAAGCAGTCTAAAATGGAGGACTCGTAACCTACCCAGGACCATAGTAATGCAGAAAAGCAAAGCTATATTCAGAAATACCGCATGGAATCTAAAAGCAAAAATACAGTTTGCTTTTAAACAAAAAGAATTTTTTGTAAAGCTTTCCAAAGCATCAGACAGATTTGAATGTAAAAAGTGAACGTACCCCTTAGTCTCTCATATTTTATGCTTTATTGAATAGTTCTTTGCACAGGCTTTAGGTTTAAGATCCTTATCCATTAGTTCAGGGTTCTGGCTGCCTTTGGTATTGCCACCATCGTTGACTTTGAACTGGAGATGCATTCTCAGCCCTCTTACCTTTCCTATTTGTGCTGCCCAATTAGTGTGCATTACAGATCTTTGAATATAATCTGCATCCCTTAACAGGGAAGGAGCATAGTAAGGGAAGGCCAGTACAGCTCTGTATTTTGAGTCTGAAGCGAGAAATAGCCAAATGAAGCAGATCGGCCATGCCCGGTGTGTTCTGCTACGACGGATCCACTTCATCGGGCAAAACACGTTGCCTGTGGTCGCCCAGCATCAACAGGCAGGACAGCAGGCAACGTGTTCTCCTGGTCTTCAGGGGTTTGATCTTGTGCACCCCAGGAATTTCTTTGCAGGATCAGGGGTTTGGGTTGTAGCCGTGTTGGTCTAAGGACATAAGCAGACAAGGTTCCTTGGGTGAATTTGATATCTTTTATTAGACCAACCCAAATGGTTGGAGAATAGTTATTAAGCAAGCTTTCGGGTTCAAAAACCCTTCGTGAGGCTAAGGAAGTTTCAGCAGTCGGTGTGTGCTCTTCCTGGTTGGAATCTGCAGGATCAGGCACTTCAAGCCCTGGGAGTGCCCGCCGGACTTCCCCGGCTTACTGAGATGCACCTCTGGCATCTCCAGGGCATGTCTCAGTAAGTGGGGAAAAGTCAGGGTTTCTGCTTACTGAGATGCACTCCCAGGATTTCTGGGAGTGCATCTCAGTAAGCAGGGAAATCCAGGCAGGCGCATTGATGGCTTGAGGGACCCAGTCTTGCACAGGAATTCCTAGAGTGCAGGATCAGGCCCTTCAAGTCCCTGGAGCACCTGCCTGGGGCAGCTGAAGAGCACGGGCAGCTTGGGGCTGCTAGCTCTCCCACCATAAAGTGAACAAATATCCGGTGCTACATAGCAGCAGAAATGGATACCTCCTTCATGGTCTCCACAAATTTTGGGCATTTGCATGGATGTCTGTTTACTTGGCTTCTGTACTGCTATCGAAATTTTTATGGTGGCACAAAGGTGGTGGAAAACAACGTCTGATTCTGTGCTGAGGAAGCTGCCATGTCCTCTCGGGCCATTTCACAGACCATAGCAGCCCCCCTGTAGTGCTTTTTGTCAAACCTCTGAAGCAAGCCCAAAGGTTGCTCTCTTTTATTTGCCCACAAAGTGAGTTGAACACATTACTTACATTGGAGGTGCAATCTCTTGCCATTTGGGGGGTAGAAGGTTGAGCGGATGTCACTGTGCAGCTTGATGAACCCAAAGGCAGCATTTAAACTGTGAAAATCAAGTGCGAGAAGAGAGAAAGTGACCTAAGGCTGCAGGAAAGCATCAACCACGGACAAAGCACAGAATTGCATTCATAGATTGTTAGGGGCTGGAAGGGACCTTGCAAGAGCATCGGGTCCAGCCCTCCCCCCCACTAAGCAGGAAAGACCACTTTTTCTCACTGCTTTTTCATGTGGCCCTGGACCTTGTGTGCTGTTCCATGGCCAGGCTGACATGGGAGGTGGCTCTGTGTGCTTCCTTAAGAAAACTTCAAGACAGTTTGAGTTTTACTACATGTAAAGTCATCCTAATAATGAGTGCATAAGCCATAGTCGGGTGGCAACTGTTTTGTCAGTGAAAAAGAAAGGAAGACCATGCCTGCTGCTCTTTTTCAGGAAGGGTGGAATGGATCACTTCCACAGAGAAGGGAAGGGGAGGACATCAGCCCTCCGTATTGCGTGCATTTGGGGACTTCACTCCTGGTCTTGCTTGTAGCATGCTTCCAGAATGTGCATGGTTTGCAGTTACCAGTAAAGCAGTTGCAAGTGAGCTGCTACTTGTGTTTAGCCTCTGTAACCGCATGCTTTTAGGATCAGACTTCGGAATCTGTAATGTTTCTTAGATGTCATGTTAGGGATGGGATGCGGATTTCTTCAAGGCTGATGGCAAATGCAGTGGTAACCAGGGTGTGGCCGTGTCTGTTTTGAGAAGTCTGACAACACCCAGGGGTTAGTACCATTCCTCTTGCATCTGGGCTCTGTCGGACAGGTGGTGATTTCACTCTGAGGAAAGCTGCAGTAATAAGGGTGTGCGTTTCCCTCCACAGCAACTTCTCCTGGTATTTTAAGTGGTGACACCTTTTAATGACATTTGTCTCTTTGTATGCAGGTCTCTTAAGTCTCCTGGAACATGGAGAGGAGTACACGTTTTCTCTACCTTGCGCATACGCTCGATCAATTTTAACAGTTCCTTGGGTAGAATTGGGAGGAAAGGTCAATATTAACTGTGCGAAGACAGGGTATTCTGCAAGCATTACTTTCCATACCAAACCGTTCTACGGCGGCAAACTTCATCGGTAAGAATGCTCTCGCGTTTTCCTGCACCCTCACTTCGACTCTGTAAATAACTACCTTACTCATGTTTTTGTCACCATTTTTTTCATATTGAATTGCACTGACCTGACGGTCTGAGATGACAACTGTATTTAAAGAGGCATTTTTCCCCTACTCCTGGAAAAAAGGTTGTAGCATATTGGGGCAATCCTGCATGGTTTTGCCACACATTTGACAGTTAATAGCAAGGCTCAAAGGTCTACAGTGCCAACTTTGAAACAATCTGTGCATGCTTAGTGCCGGAGTGTGGATTGCCACGTTTTATTCTTAGTTCTGCCACTGACTTGCTTTGTAATAGGAGCAAGTCGCTTAACCTGGTTGTCTTTGGCTTACTCCCTGCTTGAAAAGAGGATGATACATCGGCCTGAACAACAGATTGACACTTCATGTTAGTAAAGCATGTTGGAGTTGCACAGCATTTTATCTCTTCATCACAGCAGCAACACCCCAGATAGCATCTCTGGCTTGCTATCAAAACTGAACTTAAAGGTACTGCAGAGATTTCAGCCTAAGGAGGGAGAAATGTAATGCCAGTGATGGGTTTTTATTTAATTGAAAGTTATATTGCCTAACCAGGAACATATCATACAGGAATAATATTCTCAGGTTCCTATAACGTAAATGAAACTTCATTAGATATAGTAAGCAAACAGAAATGATGAATATATTCATTATAATTGGTGTAAGTAATGCTAAATGACCTGAAGACTGCAAAGAAAGGAGGCGGCTCTGGAGTACTGGCCACTGTTAAGACTGGTGAAATTGGCCAAGTCTTTTTTCTTTTTCTAGACCTCACAACTGTCCTAAAGCCATGCTTTTCCAGATGGCTTGCTTGCTAGTCCTTGATTAGTGAAGCATCAGATAGGGATTCTCAGCTTAGCTGTGTGACACACGCAGTTTCTGCTCCACTGTAGGATTTGTAGTTTAATGAAGTGGGGAAAGAAATACTTATGACTTCCACCATGGTTGTGAGCCCCGTGCTACACGGCTCATGACAGGGTAGTCATGAGCTGCTTGTCTTGCCAGGAGAGAGGTGGGGTTGCATCTTCTAGTCCTCTCCTATTTCCCACACATTTAACGGGTTTTGTCTGGCATGGAGGGCCAGAGACAAGGATGGTTTTACACTAAGTGTTTTAGATGGCAGAGCAAAAGTCAAACATTTGTCAACTACAAGGCCCATCAGTATTTTAAGAAACCGTATACTGCAAGATGAAGTGATCCGAAACAAATACAGAGGCGGAGAGATTTGAATGAAAAGGAAATAAAAAAGCTTGTCTGAAAGTCTCTGACACTACATGGATTGTTATGCAGCTCCCAGCATGTTCATCTCTCAGCCATCCACTGAACTTCGTGCTTGTTAAGAATGCTTACTTAAATATTTCATATTTCCTTCACGTTGAATCCAGACAGGAGAGGCTTTTAAGTGTACTTTGCTGTGATGGTTCACTGCAGATGTGCAGTTTGATATTACTGTTACAAATAAAGTTTATGGAAGCTGTCTTGAGCATGAAAAGCATCTCAAATTTGAGAATAACGGGTGCTTGGTTACTGCCCGTTCATGGCAATGTTTTTAGCATCTGGCCGGCAAATGAAATTATCAAGCGACTTCCCCCAGTCTAGGTACGTGCATTTAGGGCAGCATCTGTAAATTCATATACAATTTTTATTTATTTACTTATTGATTGATTTTTGCATATAGCCTGTACCTTTTTTCCCTAACCAGCAGGGAGAAATTGGGACATCATATATGAGTAATAGAGATCCTCACTGGTCTGGAAATTTGAGGGGGGGAGTGTAGAGTGGTGGCAGCATTAATAGCCACAACTCTGGGAATCACAGCAGTTAACACTTCCACTGCTTCCCAGCTTCTGGACCTGTGAGGAGCACAAGAGTACACTCCTCCCCAACCACGTGCTGGATCGGGCAGCCGCCTGGTGTTGGTCCGTGGCCCCAGGCCTTGTGTGCTGCTCCACCGTCAGACCCACTGCGCTGAGTCTGGGACCTCCCAGTGGCTCTGGGGCTGTGTGTCAGATCCAATGTGGCGTGTGGCCCAGGATTTGGTGCACAGCCCTAGAGCCAGCAGGCTGGATTGGACCCGACGAGGTGCTGGAGCTAGCAGGTGGTGCCGGATCCAGTCTGTGATCCTGGACTTGGTGTGCTCAGTCCAACCCGGCATGTGGCCCTGGAGCCAGCACAAGAGGTTTGACTCGCCACATGGCCCTGGACACATCGCGCTCAGCCAGTCCGCGGGCCCCATCCAGCACACAGGACTGACAGCAGGCTCGAGAACGGACTTCGTTCCCAAGCTTCTGCCACTCCCTTACCTTGGTAGGAGATCTGTTTTCTCTTTTTTTTTTTTTTTCCTCCTTCAGGCTCCCTTTCAAAATCAAGGTGCATCCTATATACAGGGCATGCTATGTATGAGAAAATATGGCAGTTAGGTGTCCGCAGAGGTTTCGTTGCTAAATCTGAAATTGCAGGTGGAAACTAAATATAAAATATCCTCAGGTTTTCAGAGATCCCTGTAGCATCCATGTCTTACCTATATTTCCTGTTTGTTTTGTCACAACTTTTTAACAATTTAACGGGAACGTTTTTTGCTTTTTATTTGTATCCAGTGCATCGTATGTTCAGTTTTGCAACCCTTCTGCGATGGCCTTGTCCTGCCCATTCTTTAACAAAAGAACGTGGAATATATTGTAATGCTTAATGATTTCTTTGATGTATGATATTGTGAACGTAGTGTGGCATGTAGTCTGTGTATAAGAATAGGAAATCGCACAGAGGCTCAGGTCAAACTCGTTCTGACACAGCTATAGCACTTCAAATGTGTTTCCATTGACATTTTGAAGTAGTGGTAGTTGGACGTTGCCAAAACAACTTATGAGCACAAGCAGCAGTGTTTTCTTAGCAGCATGGACCGGCAGTGAATGTTGTTATAGCAACATTATAGATTTGTTTGTAGTGACCCTTGTTATTAGACATCAGTTGAATATTGGCTTGTCAGCTCTGTGCCAGATTTGGGTTTTCCCTATTGAAATAGTGACACTAATAATTCTCAGCAGAGCAATGGGAATGCCAGTCATCTTACCTGAAATAATAAAATAACGTGTAAACCAATGCATGCAGAGTCTTTTGCTGATACTTGCTCTGCTGCAATGTGCTACGTGATGCATAATACCGGGAGTGTCCGAGCAGTACAAAATAATGCTAAAAGGAGGACATCTAGGTCGAAAGGACCTATACAACTTTAATAAAAATTCCTTGCTAAGGCCCAGAGTCAAGCTATCTCTAGTTTGTAAGTCAAGTAGCAATGCTGTTTTAATGTCTGGTATCGTCTTTCAAATTGCACAAACATTTGATGCTTACTGTGCTTAAACAATTAAATTAAGCAGATTAAGGGTGTAAGCAGAAAGGCACTTTAATAATCTGCGTTGCTCCACTTAAAAATCATATTGAATAAATACTCCTTTTCGTAACAAAAGTATCTGTAGCGATATATGAAAATCAGGAGGAGAGCAGCATAAAACCAGTGGACTCCTCTGCATGGGACATATCTTTCAAAATGAAATGAGAATGGCCATGCCATCAGAGAACTGGCAGTCCATTCTCAGTCACAGGGTGGTTTTTTTTCCCCAATGGTTTTTCAGAGTCACTGGGGAAGTAAAGCAAAATGCCACCAACACGGTGGTCTGCAGAGTGCAAGGCGAATGGAACAGCCTGCTGGAATTCACCTACGGCAACGGCGAGATCAAATATGTGGACTTGACGAAGCTGTCGGTGACAAGGAAGCGAGTCCGACCCCTGGAGAAGCAAGGGCCATTTGAGTCTAGGTAAAATATGCTTGCGGCTGTTTACTCCCTTTCGCAACTGTCTAGAATTGGTCCTCAGCGGGTGTATTAGGCTGCTTGGAGAAGATCCGCAGACCTACGTATCCTTTGCGGTGAAACAGGAGAGCTGTAACGATTGTAAAAATTCATTACTGATTAAAGCTTAGCCATCTCAACTGCAAATACAGAGTGCGGGTAAGTGTTAGGTGTCACAACCGGTTTTCTTCTAAGTTTGCCCTGTACTTTTTACAGAGGGGCCCCTGCCCTGACTTTGGGCTTTGGACATGAAAGCAAAATGAACAGTAATCCACATCTACGCAGCAGGAGCTGTTTGTGTCTGGGGAGGTCCTCAGTAGAAACTACCTGTTGAACTCAGTTTGCATGATTGCTTTTTAAGGTGTGTGCACATGCCCAGTCGGGGTTAGACTGAACTATTCCTTATTGCCGTCATTGATGGGCCGGTTCAGTCGCTAGCCCAGAGATGGAAGGCTGTACAGTGAGAGCCCTTCACCCTTGTGTTGCAACAAGCTGCATTGTATGTTATACCGTGCCCGAGAAGTAATAGAGTTATAGCTTGGAAATAGTGCTGCTGGCCGAACACCACCTCTGGAGCTCAAATGATTGCATAGCAGAGAGCCATTAAAAAATGTGAAATGAATTGGAGTTTCTGATTTCTAGGCGACTATGGCAACATGTAACAGAGTCTCTGAGGGATGGAGACATCGATAAAGCAACAGAGCATAAACGAGCCCTAGAGGAACGGCAGAGAAATGAAGAGAGAATTCGTGTGGAAACAGAAACTCCGTGGTGCACTAAGTACTTTCTTAAAGAAGTAAGCAAATAGTGTGTGTGTGTGTGTGTGTGTAAGAAATGATAGTGTATCTGTGGGTATGCATCTTAAGCTCAGGTGTTAAGGTTGTAGAGGACTTGTTAAAGAGAGCTGTTGACAGCAAGTCCCCATACATATTATATGTTTTAAAGAAATATCAGTGTTCTTGTAAAATAATAGCTTTTTATTCTGTGGCTCATCATTGCTCCCTGGACAACTCTATAGCTAAGTAAGTGATGCTAAAGACCTGTATACTAAACAATAATGTTAGGGACCTAGCATTTCTCATAAGTGCTAGGGAAATAAAAATACTGTTTGTTAGGGTTTATAGAAAGCGTGCGTACACACACGCTTACTTCTGTTCCCAGAGGTCAACTGTGCTGATGTTTTAATAAGTCTTCTGTATTAAGCAACTGAAATCTTTAAGAAATGAAACTACTTGAAGGAAGCATTCATTACCTCTAACCTCCAAAGGTCCCAAGATCTTGGCTGTTATATGCACTGAACTTGAAAATTCCCCGAGAGGAGCCGCCTAGCTTTTCCTCTACCTGCTGGTTGCTCTGTCATCTTCCCCCTGTATTTATGGGTGTCATTTTAATGTCGTTTTTAACACTTGTATCCCCAAAATCAGTACTATTGTGCTGTTTAAACCAATGTCTCTATCAGGATCAACTGCTTAGTCTTTGATTTCATCGCTTATCTGCTTGGGATCTAGACTGTCTCGTCAAAAAAGTATGGTGGCTTAAGAACGGCCAGATCATAAGGAATCAGGACAGTTGCTATTATTATTACTAGAGGTGCACCAATATATTGACCACATATATGATCGGCACCAATAAAAGGAAAATTAACATTATCAGCAGTTGGCTTTTTTTGGCTGGTATTGCTGATAATGTTACCGATAAGTGCTGCATGCATGCACGTGGCCAGGAATGCAGCTTGAAGAGCAGCGCCTTGCCAGTGAGTCTGGGGGAGGGAAGGGGCCCCCATGGTGAGGGAGGGAGGGAGTGGGGCAGGGGCAGACGATGCCCAGCCAGACAGTGAATGGGACCCTGGGGCCGGGAGCAGGATGGATCTGCGGGTGGCTTGTCCAGGGGATGGGGGTTGGAGTGGGGAGGGGGCATGGCTCCCTGCTGCTGCATGCACCCCCGGGGCAGGTAATGGGCGCATGTGCCTTCCCCCCCAGATTTGTGCATGGGACAGAGGTGGGCTGCCTGCTGCCGGCCTGGGACCAGGGGCTGCGTCCCCTGGTGGGGGAAGGAGGGGACTGGGCTGGGAGCAGGCTAGGCTCAGCTGCATGGGGCGGGTGGTGGTGGTGCTAGGAGGGATGGCTATGGGAGAGCTGTGGGGAATTTTGGGGTGCCTATAGCCCCCCCAAGCCCTCCCAAGCACCGCGCATGTTCGGGGCACTCTGCTGCCTTTCCCTCGGGAGCCCCCCGCTGTGAGGTGGGCAGGGGGCATGCAGCCAGTGCAGGGCTCCCGAGGGAAAGGCAGCAGAGCAGAGTGCCCTGAGCATGAGCAGTGCTTGGGGGGGCTATAGCCACCCTTAAATTCCCTGTAGCCACCCCTCGTAGCACTACCGCCTCCCACCCTGCTCCCACTCCCGTCCAACCCACTTGTGGTCGAGCCCCCCCCGCTGGAAAGAGGCAGGCTCTGCCTCTGGCCCCGAGCCCGCAGTGGGCAGCTCACCCTCACCCTGCACACAAATCTGGGGGGGCATATGCCTCCCCCGGGGGTCCATACAGCTGCAGGGAGCCACTCCCCTGCCCCCCTCTGCATGTCCTGGATGAGCTACCCATGGCTCCATGTCACTCCTAGCCCTGGGGTTCTTATTCACCACCCTGGCTGGCTGGGCAGCTGCCTCTGCTACCCGTCCTCCCCCAACAATGCCCCTTCCCCCCACAGACATACTGCCAGGACGCTGCTCTCCAAGCTCCCGGGCTGCATTCATGTAAATCTGAATCGGTATTGCCGATATTTCTGGCTAATAACTGGCTATTGGTATCAGCCAAGAAAATCTTCAGCAGTTCACCCCTAACTATTGCAACTGAAATTGCTAGTCTGTTATACCATTTCCTCTGCCCCTCCCAAACAAAAGTTTATATTTTATTTTTCAGCTGAAATTTGTGCAAGTTGGCATGCTTATATGTGCTTGTGTGTCAAAGTGAGCTGAAGCCACTGAATGCCATAGCAAAGTGCAGGTGGATCTGTCCAAGCTGATTATACTTTATGCAGATGAAAAAAAAACAAACCACTGTCTGGCAAAACCAGATGCTGAATTCTTCTTGCTACCTCAGCTTTCCATGCCCTTGTTTGCCAGGTCTGTCAGAGCTTGTCCATTCAGTGCCTTGACCAAGGGCATAGCTGACTTCTTAATTCGGTGAACTTGTATGAGGTGATGGAGAATCCCTGGCATGACAGGTTTACACTGGACTTCCTTTCCTGTTGCAACTAGAACCTGCTTAGCTAGGCAGCGTAGCGAGCTGTAAGGGAGGGAGCAGGTGGTATAAATCTAATTTATGCTGTGCATTACTGCGAAAGAGATGTGTGTGTGATCCGATTGCCTCATCTTAAAGCATAAAACCAAAAAAAAAATCTCTCCTAGCAGACCCAAAACCCATAAGGGAGCTCCTGCAAATTGCTTTCTTTCCAAACCTAGATCAAAATACTGGAGTTTGAATTTCTTTTGCAAGTGTTTAAAACCTGTGCAAGAGCCTAACTGTAACTCTGAACAGCTTTGCACTCAACCGTATGGCAGATTAAGGGATTGACTTGTTTTGGAAACCAGAAACTGGAATTACTGATTTATTATTTGTTCTGCAGCTTTTGTAGGAAAGACAATTTGGGTTGTATTTAGCACAACACAGAAAAACTGCCTCTTTATGAAAAATGGAAAGTATGAGTTAATTTCCTTGTATCAAAGTGGCTAGAAACAGGAATACGAGGAACCTTGCATTTATATTTGGAAGAAGAGCGAAACAAAGGGGCTGCTGAAGGGACAGATTGCAGAAAAGATTGGGAGTAAAATAAATTATATGTATTATGGCCAATCATTAACTCTCGAGATGAAACAGCATGTAAACACCTGAAAAATGAAGGAAAAAAACCCTTGTGATTCTAGAAACACTCATCTTAATGTGCTGGCATTAATAAAGGGAAAAATTAAAGCTGAATGTCACGGAAACTTTGCTTCCATTAGGCCATAAAATAATCTCTCAAGGCAGGTTGTGAAATTTCCATCGTTTGTCACATTATTTGAAGATAATCCTCCATTGGCAGAACATTTTCTGGACCACTCCTGCTTCTTCCTTTTCTCTCAGCACCATCTCTTGTCTCTATTCAAAATCTTTGCTCAAATAACCTCTTTGATCTCAGAGCTTTATCAAAGCCAAAGAAATCTTGTGTTCTGATTTCTGAAAGCTTGCCTTGCTTTCTTTGTGCCTGAAGAAAAAAAAGTGAAAGAGAAATGAAGGGAAGGGAGGTCAGGAAGAAAGAAGATAACTTGTCTAAATTTAGAGGATAATATTGGTCTTGCAGGCTACTAGTTTCCCAGTACAAGGAAGCCAGTCAGTTCAGTTGACTTAAACACAAGAACTACATTTTTTTTTTTTTCAAACGAAGGAAAGAATGTGTTAATTAGCTCGTTCTGATTGCAGCCCCACCTGACCATTGACAGGAGAAAACATTTCCCTCTAGAGTGTGTGGGTAAAAAGAAGAAACTGCTTTTAGGTACCTTAATAAAAACAGGATTTGAGATGCTAGCTAGATGAGATCCATAGACCACCTCATCTCTGGATTATCGGATCAAATGTAGCAGAAACGGTGAATCACTACAAGCTGTTTTTCTCCGTTTGCTTGGCCTTTCTGAAATAAATAGGTGATCTCAATCTAGATTATAGAGGGCTGCCGTTCCCACTGCAAAATCCCCGTCGGCTCTGGCACTGCCATCGCTGTTATCCATCTTGGTAGAGAGGCCAAGCCTGGCTAGAGTGAACCCGGAGACTCAACGTTTTGTGGGCTGAGTTTAGACACCTTGGGATGTCTGTGTGAAAAATCTTGCACTGTCTCTGTGCCGTACTGTTTTACCGAAGAAGCATTTATAAAGCCGAGTCCTGGTTTCAGTTGCTATCACTGGGACAGTTTGCAGACAGAATTTATGTAGGTAAGCATTTTTAATAACTATTCTATATAATTTCTTTTTCTACTTGACTTGCAGGGAGATGGCTGGATTTATTACAAACCCCTTTGGAAAAGTGGCCCTGCCATCCAAACTCAGCAAATGGACTAGATCAGACTCTTCAAGATGAGTTTTCCTGTTTATCTAAGGTTTCTCTCCTTCTCAAACCACAGTAAATACACACTGAGTGTCCTGCTTTTTATAATTGCACAAATTCAAGTGAACGGAAAGGAATAAAAATGCTAGGGCACTTTAAAGTTACGACCC